GCCCTGCTTGGCGTGCACAGGGGCGACGCGGCCAGGTGCTGGGTGAGCTTGGCTCCCTCTTCCGCCAACCGGTCGATGTTGGGGGTCCTGGAACAAGAGACGCATGTCACACTGGAGTCCCAGGCAGGCAGCAGCGGACGGTGACCGGCTCGCGCACCAACCTCAGGGTCTTGTTTCCGTAGCAGCCGGGATCCCCGATGCCAAAGTCGTCCGCCATCAGCAGCACGAAGTTGGGCCTGGAGGCGGAGAGGCCAAGGGCAGCGCCCGGGAGCGGCAGCAGCAGCAGCAGCACCAGCAGAGACCCCATCTGGCTGCAAAGCACAGGACAGAGGCTGAGTGAGGGCGGCGAACCCAGCACCTAGGGCTCCGGGAACTCGCGTGACCCTCGCCACGGTCAGAGCAGCACGGCGCCCCGGGCGTCAGGACCGAGCGGCGCCCGAGGACCCTGTCCTCCCCGGCCTGTGTGTCCATCGGCAGGACACACCCGTGGCCGCTGCCGTGACCTCCCTTCCTCATAGTGAGGCGACGGAAACACCCCAAGCGCCCCGAGGAGATGACTGGGGAGAGAAGACGCGGTATAGCTGCACCGTGGAATATTATACAGCCGTGAAAAAGACAGCCGTCCGCCATTGGCAGCGGCCTGGACGGAGCTGCAAGGATGACGGTCAGTGAGCTAAGGCAGCAGGAGAAAGGACAGTATTCGACGGTTTCCCTTGTAGGAGGAATGTAGGGGACCCAAATAAGGGATCAAGAAAAAAAAAGGCAACAAATAACAAACCAAAGTTAAAGGGCACCAGAAGCAGCTCTGTTTGGAGATGCAGAAACTGTCCCCGGTGCGGACGAGCTCTGGGAGGGGCTCAAAGCGTCCCTTGGGGCGCGGGGAGGACTACGGATGGGGCCTGAAGGCCACGTCATCGGTGCCCAGCCCCGGAGTGTGGGCGGCAGCGTGTCCTCCGTATTTATTTATCATCTCATAGGTGTGTCACCTCATTCTTCCTTTTCGTACAATGTCTGCTTCCTCCTCTAGGCGTCGTGCCCGTAAAATTCCCCCAGCCAACTCAGCCCGGCACCATCGCCAGAGTCCTTGTGCTCTTCCTTCCCCCCCCTCCCCCCACTTCCCTGCAGAACGCCTCTGACTAGTTGCCTGAATCATGGTTTGCTATTTGTCGCTATTATTTTTTTCCTGCTCCTTTGTTTGGGTCCCGACAGTCCTCCCGTAAGCGAAACCATCGGATCTTTCTCTCTCCCACTGACATACTTCGGTGACCGTCATCCCTTCCAGCTCCATCCGTGCGGCTGTGAACGTCACAGATCTGCCTTTTGACGGCTGTATAGTATTCCACCGAATACACATGCCATGTCCTCGGCACTGCTCTTTCCTGTTTTTTAACACGTGGGGGGCGGTTGCTTTTCACAGGAAACATAAACATGGGATCTTTGAAAATTCCAGGAGCAGCTCCGCCTGCTGCCAGACATGGCAGGGTTGGACCTCTACGGGCCTGGGGGTCCCCTGTGTTGCTCGCCCGCAGAGGTTGGGGCCCGGCGGGGAGACCTCAGGGAACCTACAGCGTTGGGAACAATCGGCCAGCCGCGGCGGACCGACCGGAGCTGTGGGGTGTTGGCACCGAGGGCCAGGGACCCCATGAGGGACCCCCCGGACCATCGCAAACTTGAGCTGCTCTAAGCCCTTTGCTGTTGCACAGCCAGTCAAGGCTGCCCCCGGGGACACATCCCCGCGGTGGGAGGCTCACGTGGACACAGGTCACGCCACTGCCATTTGCAGGGCGTCCTTGACTGGCAACGAGCAGGCAGGTGGATGTGCTTCGCACCCCGAACCCCGCAACTCAGAGGCTCACCGTGCCCCCCAAGCCGCCCCGATCATTCAGTGCGTGCACAGCGTGTGATTTCTGGAAAACAGCTGCCCCACTGTGCTTCACCTTTAGGAAACATGTTCACCTGGACACATCAGCCCGGTGGCCATGGGCGGCACCCCGGGAAGGCCCTCCAGCTAGGGAGCCTGCTCCGGGGGACCCCCAAATCCGCCCGCAGGGAGAGACGAGGTGGGCTGCCCTGCCGGGGCCGGGGTGAGGGGTGGCCACGTTTCCTGAACAGTCTCAGGGTCGTGGCAAAGTCCGCCCCACTAAATCACGCCGTAGCAGCCGCCCTTCCTTTTTCAGGACCGAGTAATATTCCACGGACGGAGGGGTGGCGTTTTACACACCCCAGCGGCGACGTGACCGTGTAATGGTAAGTCGGTGACAACCGGAAACGCAGCTTGGGGACACACGTACGCGGGGGGACACTTATGGATGCTTGGCACGAGACATGTGCTTCACCAGCGCGTTTCTCCGGGAATTCGGAAATAACACAAGCCCCAAACGGATGCGTGGCATGAACGACAGATACATATAGACATTGAAGGACACGTGTGATAGAGATCTACAACAGGTGTAGACACCAGAAGACAAATGCAACCGTAAACGTGTATATGTATAGACTCTGACAGCATGTATGGATAGACTCCTCTGTGTACATAGACATGCATGTATATAAAATATATATATACACGCAGATCGGAGGCCGGCAGAGCACGACCAAATAAATCTCCCCCGACAAACACAGAAACGGTGACACGTCTCTGAGCCGCACAGTCTTATTGTGACGTCTCCTCACATTCACCAACGAGCTCTTTGCTGCCACCATTATTTCCCGGAAATGCCTGACCTGCTCTTGGCAAGTATTTGGCCCTATTATCACGCCCCAACAAGAAGTGGGATATCAGGGTGCGATCACGTCCCGCCTGGGTGGCGTTTGCGTCCTGGCAGGAGAGACCCCCCACAACACACACACACACACACACACACACACACGTGTACTGCGGTCAGAGACTCCGGCTCAGGTCCAGCTATAAACTACGCAATCTTGCAGCCTGTGCAGAGACAGAGCCTAAACCGCAAATCCCGACAAACTCAAGTGTTGGCACAGACACAGAGCGACAGCAGCCGCTTTATTGATGGTGCGGGGGCCAGATCGTGCAACCGCTTCCGGGAGAAGCTGGTGGCTTCGAGCCCGAGAAACAGACGAGGTGCGAAAATGCAAGGCCACAGACAGCCCGAGCCATTGCCCGCCCACGACTGGAGACCGGCCTCGGGAGAATGTGTTCTCTTTGGGACGGTGGCTGGTACAGCTACACCCACAGATGCAGCACGAGCAGCCAAGAGTGCAGAGGTGACCGCAGCAAAGTGCCATCGGCTGCAAAGTAAGTGGTTTTCCTTTGCGGTGTGCAGGTGACAGAGCAGAAGGGGGCGAGACAGGGGTCAGGGGAGGGAGTCAAGTGCCAGACCCGGGAGGGCCAGACGTCCTCGAAGGTCCTGCAATGACCCACGTGGGGGTCTCATGAGCGGAGAGGTTCGACCCCCTGACTCCAGGGACAGTCGGAGGCAGGGCAAGCAGGGGGACGAGGGTCCTGGCCCCTGCTCAGTGCTGTGGCTTGATGGAGTCACCTTCCCAGCCCATTAGAATTTCATTGTCTGTCCAGTCAGAATCTGTCCAGTTTCGTTAAACAATGTTCAGAAACCTGCTTGAAAGAAAAATGTATTCGAGAAAGGTGCTCTCCTGCACTGCTGGTGGCAAGTGCAACCACTGTGGAACACTGTTGGGAGGATCCTCAAACATGGGGCTTCCATGGGAGCCAGCCTTCCCACCCCTAGGGGTCTCCCCAAAACACACAAAAACACTGATTCCAAAAGACACCTGCACCCCCATGTTTACTGCTGCTCTATTTACAATAGGAAAGACGTGGGATCGATTCAAATGCCCAAAAATGTATGACGGGATTAAAAAGAGGTGGAATACTATGCAGCCGTCAAAAAGATAGACTCGGGCCTTTGGCAGCCCCATGGATGGAGCTGGAACGGATCATGCAGAGTGAGATAAGCCAGAGAGAAAAGGGAAAATACAGGATGGTTTCAGCCATAGCAGGAGCAAAAATTGACGGGGGGGAGGGAATAATAATAATAATAATAATAATGAACAACTGTATACCACAGACATTTTACAGGGGTGGTAGAGTGCGGGCTGGGGTCAAAAAATGGGGGAAGGGATGCACACTGGACGATGGTGATGGCACATGGGTGATTTGGTGACGGGAAGCCCATGGGGGTCACAACGGACATGGAAAAACAGCACAAAATGACCTAAAAAAAAAATCTTGAGGTGCACCCATATTTATTGCTGCTTTACTTACAACTGGAAAGACACGGAATCAACCCACATACCCAAAAGTGGATGACGGGATTAAAAAGACACGGTCCATACACACAGTGGAATACTATGCAGCCGTCAAAAGGATAAACCCACGCTTTGGCGGCCCCATGGATGGGGCTGGGAGGGATCGTGCGGAGTGAGATGAGCCAGAGAGAAAAGGGAAAATACCGAAGGGTTTCAGTCACGGGGGGATAATTTTTAAAAAAAAATACTGCCTTGCAGAACGCCTTCTTGCCTTATGCAGGAGCATAAAGGACTGAGGGGGGCGGAATAATAGCAACAATAATAATAGTAATAATGAGAACCTATATACCAGAGACATTTTACAGGGGTGAATGGGATCAAACACGGGGGTTTGGGGGAGCGCACGGGACTGTGGTGACGGCTCACGGGTGACCTGGTGACGGGAAGCCCCCGGGGATGGCAACTGGGCTGGGCAAAGGCCCAGAGTGATGGGAAAATAAACTCTTGTAATAACAGGAAAACGTCCTCATCCAAGGAGGGGCGTGCTGAGGAGGCTGACTCAGGTGTTTCCGCCATCCCGCCACCACGCGTCTGCACGGACGTCACGTCCCTCCTCACCCCTCGGGGAAGGGTCCCCACCAGTGCCAGGGAGGGCCGCGGGGCGCACCCTGGTGCAGCCTCAGGGCAAAGCCGCCGGGCGGCCCTGAGCGCCTGCAGCCGGCACCTGCCACGCGGCCCGCAATTCCGCTCCCGTCCTGCGCCCCAAGAATGCATGCGGGGCCGCGGCTCCCCCCCACCCCTAAGGCCCGGGGGGAGCCCTGCAGAGAGCCAGCCCCCACGGGTCCAGCCCCGGAAACGGCCCCTGGACATCGGGGCCAGCGTGGAGGACACGGGGTCCCTTGGCCGAGAAGCAGGACACAGTCTCGATGCCCCCTGCAATCTGGGAGGCCGGGAGAGGGGAGAGAGCCGGGCAGACGGACGCTGAGCTCAGCCCAGGGCGCGGGCCCCTGTCCAGCCCCAACGTGCTCGTCCCTGCTGGGCGTCTGGAACCGGTTTCCATAGGGGGTGCACAGAGCCGGGCTGGGGGTGTCAGCACGGCAGGGGAGCGTACAATCCTGGGGTGCAGTGTGCAGTGCATGCCCCCTGGCCGCCCCGCCTGCGGACATCAGGGAGCCCAGAGCGTCACTGAAGGCCTGCGCTCGGCCTCGGGGTCCCCCAGTCGGTACTGGGGGGGCGGTGGGGGGCGGCTCGAACAGGCTGCACGGCTCCCACCCCCTGCAGGGGCCCCAAGTTCTGCACGGGATCCCTACCGCACTCACAGGAGACAGAGAACACCCCCGAGAGCCCCCCCACCCCCCTGCACCCCCAGGCAGGCTCCCGGATGACGCTCCCCTCAGGAATTCCAGGCTGCAGGAATTCCAGGCTTCTGCCGGAGGCGCCTGACCAGAGGACAATGGGCTTCGGCCAGCCCCGGCCAGCCCCGCCCTGGAATCCTGCTCCTTCAGCTCAGCTGGCCTCCGGCAGCGGGGGGCTGGGACTGCCCACATTCCTGCACCCTCTGAGCTGGGCTGCACGCAGAGGCCCCGTCAGAGCGACGCCAGCCTGGACCCCGGACGCCAGGACGCCAGTGTCCTCTGACCCGTCCCTGACCAAGCTGCTCCCTGAGTATAACCGAGTCTCCGTGTCCTGCAGAAACTGGCCTGGGAGCTGGCGGGTGCCGCGGCGAGGGGCTCACTCAGCAC